TGCTAGTAGCAGGAGGAGTCAGGATTCAGCTTGTAAACCCAAACCTGAAAAACCATGGTTAGCCTCTCTAGCTGTTTCGGGATTTTTCAAATCTCACTCTCTTAAATAGTGGCATGGTTTGTGGGGGTGGGCATGGGTCCGGTTCTGGGATGCTAGTGGATGACACAGGCTGTATTTCTAAACAGGATAGGATGGGAGAGAAAAACCAAGCCTCACATAGGCTGGTCAGTAGGTCTTAAAATGAGAAACTACCTTTCCAGGAAATCATCTACTTCTCAGTATTTAATTATTTGTTGAGGTGGGGGAGGGGCGGTGAGAGGGCAGCAGTTTTATTGAGGGATAATTCACGTGCCACATAATCCGCCCATCATATTCTCGTGTTTGTTGTTTTGTTCTCATAAACCATTTTCTGGGCCTTGTTCTATCCTTGCCATATCTGGTGGTTCCTGGTCTAGTCTATTAATCCAGCACTGGTTCATCCCAAACTTCAACATGTCTGCTGAGGACAGTCCCTCAAAATGGGACTAGATGAGCATGAAAAGTTCAAAATACTATTTCCAAGCTCCTGTTAGAGAAGTCACATCGAAAAGCTACCATACCGGCAGCATGGGGTTCAGCAAGCAAAGCCGTCCTCTTGACAGCCCGCCTCGGGGAGGAGACAAACAGGAGAGTCTAGACTGGGGAAAGTGTTCCTTAGAAAGAGGTGGGTGTGGGGTGCTCTGATGGATTGGGGGCCAGCAGCGCAGTTTGTCAAGAATTCACCCAAGGCAGAACAAAAGAGCCAGAAGTTTTCTGAATACACGGCCAGGGAGCAGCGGGCAGGACAGCAAAGGAGAGATGGTTGGCCACGAGGCAGTGCTGAGGATCCATCCTGAGGGAGTATGGGGACCTATGGAATTTTCCCTTTTTTGGTAAACTTAGGATTACCAGTCATAAGTGGCCCATCGGTTAGTTAGGGCCTATGGCTATTTTGAAGTCAGTCAGTCAGTGAGACTGTTTGCATTCAGCTCAGTGGTCACTGTGGTCTCTTTTGTCCTGCTCTGGTTTCTATTGCTCAAGCCTGTTGCCTAAAAGTGCCTTCTACAATGGGGAGGCAGGGAGCCAGAGCCTTTGCCTATCCTGACTCCTGGCTCACTGAGGTTGGCTAAGAGCCCCTTTCCCTCTTGCACCATTAGTAGGTCAGGTTCTAGCATTTTCTAGGCATTAAGCACACAGGTGTTAGCCCTCCCGGAATTCCCCAGGAGGAAACGGTCGGTGAAGCTGTAACCATCCTGGAAAGTGACAGAGGCGGAGACTGTTGGGTTTCAGGACAGGACCCTCCATTCAGGGCTGAGACCCAAATTCTCCCCAGCTAACCATGAGAATATCCCTTCTTCATCCTTTTGTTTTGAAAATTAGAGGTAATAGTTCTGTGAGCACAGTCTCTGTGCCCAAATTCAACGATTTAACCAGTTCTTTTTTCTACCACTGTCTTAGGTAGTTTCCGCAAGTGTGTTTGAGTGTGCACGGGTTTGTACAAACACATACGTGCACTGACTAAGGTTTTCCGCTTTGTAACCTCCAGACAACTCTTCCCTCTCCCTGCCATGAGCACTTTCCAGAGTCCTCTTTGCGGGGAAAGACAATCACAAAGAAGGGTGGTTAGTCGAGGAGGAGGCTTCTGACTAGTCAGACGACACCAAAGGTTCTCTCTGCTACAGAAGGTCAAACTGGCTTTCAACCAGAGCTTCCCTAACTTCTCTGAACAAGCCCCTGTTTAAAAACGCAAATTCCAGAACCCATCCCCAATGCCTTGAAGCAAGATTTCCTGGAGCAATCAAGCAATCAGGAAAGATCAGGAAAGATTTTCAACAAGGGCCTTCACTTGACACTTATTGTAGGAAAGCTTACTTGCTCCTCCTATTTATCTATCTATCATCTATCTATCTATCTGTTTTTTAAGCTGGGCTTCATGCCCAGCGAGGAGCCCAACTCAGGGCTAACTCTAACTCACAACCCTGAAATCAAGACCTGAGCTCAGATCAAGAGTCAGACCATTAACCAACAGGCTGAGGCACCCAGGTGCCCCTCTTTTTCTTTTCCTTTTTTTTTTTTTTTAATGCAGATGCCTCCTCACTAGAGATTACAGTTCAACGGAGTGGGCCTGGCAGGGTTAAGGTTAGACCATTCTTGAACACAGCGGATGTGATGTGCCGTCTATTGAGAATCATTGCTTACCCTCAGGCATCACTGACACTATTTTCAGCAATTTGATCAGTGGCTCCTAAACAGCTAAGTTCCACCTGGGCTCTGTAATGATGATTTCAATCAAGTTTTCTCTCCCAGATAAGATATGAGTTACTTTTCTTCATCACCACTATTTAAAAACAAACACAAACAAAAACTCTGCTTTATTAAACTCTATAGTGTTACCAGGGTGAGGCCCGTTACGTACACACCCTCATTAGTCCTCTCAACAGCCCTTTGAGGTTTGTTCTATTGGTAGCCCCACTTTACAGATGCGCAAACTGAGATAGAAGTGAACCCACTTGCTTAAGACCACCCAGGTAATAAGTAGCAAAAAGCCTTTCTCCCTGGATCCCAGGCTAGCAGCTAAGTGCTACACCCCTGTGCAGGGCCTGCCCAGACTGGCCCACAGTTCAGGGCTATTCTGAACCAAGGAGCCTCCATATCTCACGACCAGTTTCCGGAGGAGAGAATGGAACTCCAGACAAAGGCCCACATGCCTGCTTTCTATCAGTCCATCGACTGTGGGCTGCATTGGAAGTACCTTTAGGTCAATAATTTCCAGGTGATGGTGCAGCAGAGTAATCTGGGAAGAGGGTTAAAAAGGCAGATACCTAAGGGGCACGTGAGTGTCTCAGTCAGTTAAGCGTCTGCCTTTGGCTCAGGTCATGATCCCTATCCTGTGTTGGGATCCCTGCTCAGTGGGGAGCCTGCTTCTCCCTCTGCCTCTCCCCCTGCTCATGCTTTCTCTCTCTCTCTCTCAAATAAATAAATAAAATGTTTTAAAAATGCAGATACTGAAGATCTTTAAGTCCTATCCTTAGAGATTCCAACCCTTAATGTCTGGGATACAGCTCAGGAATCTGCATTTTTGTAACTATAGTCAGTGATTCTGATGAAAGTAATGCTTCATCAGTATGCTGAAAAAAGGGAGGAGGAAGAAGAGAAAGGAAAGAAGGGGGAGAGAAGGAAGGGAGGAAGGAAGGAGGAAGGAAGGAAAGTACCCTGAGTGAGCAATCAGCCCTTGACAGAAGGGTAAGAGATGCCCGCCATGATGCATAAGGAAGCCTCTATCCTTAACGAGGTCTTGTCTCTTTCTCCATACCTGGATAAATTTCTCCTCCTCCTTCAAGACCCAGCTCCCAGGTCACGCCTCCTCTGTGATCTCTCCGTGGCTCCTTTCCAAGTTAAGGAGGCCTCCTTGGGAAGTTCATAGCCCTTAAATCTAGGCACTGGTGCATTTTATTTATCACGTGGTTTTCACTGCTGAATGCTCGGTGGGTGACTTACTCATCTCGTGGGGGTAAGCCATGACTGACTGCTGGGCTGCCGTGTGCAGGGCCACAGCTGGGCAGCCAGCGAGCTGGAGGACGCCCAGCTGTTGAATAGAGTCTAGGTGGGCCTGAGCAGATGTTCAAACACTGACAAGAGCTGTTAATGCTGCAGAGGCGAGACCTCACATCCCCACGCCCCCCACGCCCCCCACACCCCACATAGGCAAAGACGCCCAGCCCCTTGAGAACAGTGGTCCCGCCAGACCCTTTCCCGAACTGCCAGGGCGTCACCCAGGGGTAGGCACCAAACCAAGGATGCCGATGAGTTTCACGGGGCTTGCCAGCTCCAGTCACGGGTTTGCAGCTGGTCGGGATGGGGCAGGGTCTGCTTCCACCGGCTTCCATGGGAAAGAATGCTGAGTGATTACTGATGCCTGCCTCGGGCATAGGAGGCTCTTGCCTGCCCTGTGTTTGAGGCCGAATTGCTTTCCTGGGGCTATGACAACAAATTACCACAAACTGGGTGGCTTACAACAACAGGAATTTATTCTCTCACAGTTCTGGGAGCCAGAAATCTGAATTAGTCTTCCTGGGTCAAAATCGAGATGTCCATAGGGCCGCGCTCCTTCCAAATGCTCTTGGCCGGGAGCTTGCGGCAGACCTCCATTCTCTGCCTCCAGCTTCCCAGGGACCTCTTCGCATGTGTTAGATCCCCCTCCCCTTTCTTTTATGAGGACACCAATTCGTGGATTTAGCACTCACCCCGAATCCAGGATGATCTCATCTCACACTCAAGTAAGGTCATTACATCAGCAAAGACCCCTTTTCCAAATAAGGACACATTTACAGGTACCAGGGGTTAGGACTTGAACATATTTATGGGGGATGGGGGATGCAATTCAACCCACTACCTCAGCCTCCTGCTAAATAAATGTGGGTGATTAAGTGCCTCCTCCCACTTTGCCCCCCACCCCTCACCCCTTTTGTGCAAACCTTTTTAAACCTCATGCTAGGGAACGTCTCCTCTCACCAGAGACAGGCCTGCCCTGGGGTCCGTTTTGGCTCATTGCAGACCTCACCTCCAGCCACTTGGATGGCAGGAGATGTGGAGGCCTGAGAGGCAGTTAAGCCTCCTGCTCCAGCAAGGATAATAAAAAGAGAGCCAAACCCTTTGCAAAGGTTACCAGATCATTGGGTTGAGTGAGTCTTCCCCATGACGTGCCCAATACAGAATTCAGTACCTGAACAAGAGTCAAGGCCGTGGTCAGGTTGCCCTCAGCCCACCTACTCGTGCAACCCCCTGTGGGTACCACATCCTACCCCAATATGAGCACCTTCTGCTCCAAGTTCACCCACAGCATGAAAAGCAGTTGTGATAAAGACCAGGCTGCAAAAGACCTGCTCCAGATACCCCCTCTGCTACCTTCTGTGCTGTCTGACCTTGAGCAAGCTCATTGCTCTTCCCGGCACCTCCCCGTAAAATTGGACTGCTCCCCGTACCTACATCCTTTCTTCAGCTTGGCCCGGGAGCGGGAAACAAATTCTTCCTTGCAGGCTTCTGCAGAGGGCTAACAGAGTCACTGCAGAGGTTCTGGGACCACAGCAGACATCCCCTAAGCTTTTTTTAATTGAGTGAAAGCTGACGACACAGCAGGTGCGTCCTTCAGTGTTCACCAGGTTTAAACACACTCCTGTCTTCAACCAGCATCACCACACTAGTACGTCCTCTACCTCCAACTTCCTCCTGCATCTCAGACTGCCTACCCTTATCTCAAAGTTGCCAGGGTCAAACTCCACACCGTTCACTTCCTACCTGCTTCTCCTCCTGTAATGTCATCTGTGGGAGCGGCCACCCCCGTCCAAACATCTACAGGCACCACTCCTTTTCTCCAAACCAGTCACCAAATGCAAGAGGTGCTTCTTTCTTAATATCCTCCAGATCTCTCTTGGCCTCCCTCGTCTGCACACACTGAAAACCACAGCATGTCCCACCTGAAATAATGCAACAGCTTCCCTTCTCAGTCTCTTCCTTTCCCAATTTGTGCTGACAAGGCTGCTGTTTCTCAGACACAGATCCGATCACGTGCAAGACCGCACAGAGCCTTTGGGCCTGAAACCCACCTGCTTGGCGTGGCTGCAAAGCCCATGTGGACAGCCCCAGCTGCTTCCCCAGCCCAATACCCCTGGTCCCCTGAGCCAGAGCCCCGTGGAGATACCAGAAGTTCCCCAACCACCCCTGCCCCACCCGTTCTCATTTCTCCAAGCCTTTGCATAAGCTGTTCCCTTCACCGGGAACATTCTTTTATTCATTCCTCACGTTATTAACCCTTATTCAGTCTTCGAGATCAGCCGCTTCTGAGGCCCCTTCACCATTCTCTCTTAGGTTCCCATACGGTCTTGTCCTATGTCTCTTGCAACATTTGTGGATTATATCATAAATACTTATTAAATCATACATAATAAACATAATTATTTATCTATCTATGCCACACGCCACACAGCCCTGCACCCTGCCCCAGACTGTGAGCTCCCTGATATTTGGGACTGTGTCTCTTCTCTGTATTTCCAGCACCTGGCACTGTACCTGCCAATAGCGCCTTAATAAGCATTTGTTGAAGTGTCGAATGCCAAAGACAGAACAGCGTGTTATTGAGAGAGATACCTAGTTGGTGATTTTTTTCTTCATGATTTCTCTTTGTTTGCTTTTGGCATTTCATATCGGAAGGAGGGATAACTATGCATGAAAAAAATTCCTTTGTTTAGTAAATCACACAAAAAATCCAGAAATTATGAAAACTCAGAAAGACAGCATGGCCATTTTGGGAAAGCAAGGCAAAAACAAGGTTTGAGCTAAAACAATAACATCATGATTAAAATGCATGTATTCCAACGCCAAAACCAAGGTCATGACCCCAGGGTCATGACTTGAGCTGCAGGCAGACACTTAACCGACTGAGCCAACCAGGTGCCTTTATTTATTTATTTAGAGGGAGACGTAGCATGAGCACGCGCACAAGCTCACATGGGTGGGGAGAGGGGCAGACGGTGAGACAGTCTTAAGCAGACTCCAGTAAGTGCCGAGTCCCATGCAGGGCTCCATTTCATGACCCCGAGATCATGACCTGAGCTGCAATCAAGAGTCAGATGCTTAACTGATGGAGCCACCCAGGTGCCCCATCGATAGGATCTAGATCACTATCAGTTCAAGATTAAATTTCCTGAGTCAGGCCCAAAGTGCGCACATCCTGTGTGGTTGATCAAAGAAGATCTGTTTTTGGCTAGCAGGTGACAAGGGTCACCTTCTATGGGAAGACTGATTAGCCTGTTAAAGAGATGAAGTCCACCCCAGCTCCACCCATAGGTGGGCCACAATCTCTTCTTCCTAAACCCCCTAAACTTCTTCCTAAACTCTTCTTCCTAAACCCTTCCTAAACTTCTTCCTAAACCCCAAAAACTGGGGTTTCTCTTTCTACCTAAACCCCACACTCAGTTATGCTTGCTACTCACTTGCCCCAAATCCACCCTGCACCTTCCCATGCTTCTGCCATCTTCTCTGTCTAGAATATCCTCCCCCTCTAATTTCCACCCAGCGTATCCTATCCATATGCCAAGGCCCACGCCTTTATCCCCCTATCGTCCCTTTCTTCCACATTACACTTTGGGCTGTCTACCTGGCTATAGATTGTATTTCCCAGCATCCTTTGTAACTAGATGTGACCAAATGAACAAGTTGTGGCCACCAGGATAAATGAGCCCCTTCTGGGTCTATCCTCCATCCTCTCTTTGCCCTTCCTACTTTCATGTGGAACATGCTGGAACATTCATGTGGCAACAACCAAGCATTAACCATATGGTTGAAGAGGATACCCAACAGGACAATGGAGCAAAGCAATGGGGTAGAGCAGAACTGGGTCCCTGAATGACCTCGTGGAGCTGAGGTTGTCCCACCACAACATCTGCACTGTCGTAGGAGAGAGGAATAAAATTATATCTTAAGACTGTCCTTGTATGAGTGACAGTGTCTTGGAATCTCTGCACCATGAATTACTTTTGTACAGTCTTCCCTGTGGAAGCTTCCCTGAGAGCCCTGTCTGATGTCCTGGTGGGACTTTGGAGGCCACTCAAGTTCCATGACAGGGACCTCTGTGCGTGTTATAGTGCTGTGAGTGGACTGTAAGACTCTTGAGAGCAAAGGCCACACCAATCTCATCTTTGATGTCCCCAGAGCAGCCATCATGGTGTCCCGTAGGCGGAAGTCATGTTTGTTGAAGCGAGCAAATACACAGAGCTTCCCACACAAACACTGTTTTTAGAAGAGAAGCAAAGTTAGCAGCAGCAAAGCTGATTCACAATGCACTTACACAGAAACCAGAAGGGATGGGGATGATGAATAAGAGGCCTGGTGGGCCAAGCTGGGAATAGTAATTCTCCAAAAATAAACGTATTGTGGTGACAAAGCCTGAAGCAACCTCGCTGAAAAACACAGCTGGTTCCTGAAGTCTGGGAGCAGCCCCCTCCTCCCAGTGACACCCCCTGCATATCCCTCACAAGGCCAAGGTGGAGATGGCCACATACCCTCAGGTGCTGGACCATCACTTATGCAGACTGGGTCACTTCTTCCCAGGCATTTGTCCCCAGAGTCAGGCCTGTATATAGAGTTTCTCAGGGTCCCTGGGAGAGGGGCACCGCCAGTGTTCCCCCAGGCTACTGAAGTATATAGGAAAGGAACAGTATTTCCCCGGCCAACAGGAAAATGTTCACTCATCAGTGTGGGAGGTTGGGACCAGACTGCTGGGTCTGAATCCCAGCTCAGCTGCTCAGCTGCTGTGCAACCTTAGACAAGTTGCTTAACCTCTCTGCACCTCTATTTTCTCACCTGTGAAGCAAAGATAATGATAGTAGCTTCTCATGAGATTGTGGTAGAATTAAGTGACTTTATACGTGAAGACACCTATGATGACAAAATACCCATTTTCCAGATTAAAAATACTGAGGCTCAGGGCTCCTGGGTGGCTCAGCAGGTTAAGCCTCCGCCTTTGGCTCAAGTCGTGACCTCAGGGTCCTGGGATCGAGCCCTGTGTCAGGCTCTCTGCTCCGCAGGAAGCCTGCTTCCCTCTCTCTCTCTGCCTGCCTCTCTGCCTACTTGGGATCTCTCTCTGTCAAATAAATAAAATCTTAAAAAAAAAAAAAATACTAAAGCTCCAAGGGATTATGGAACTTGCCAGAGGTCACCAAGGTCTGGTGTCCCAGCTCTAAGTCATGTGCTAATGGGAATCTCTGCAGCCTTCACCTAGGTGCTCTTCTGCTCTCCTGGGGGAGCAGCCCCAGGAGGCTAAGAGCTGAGGGGAGGCTGTATTTCCCTCCTCTTATTTGAGTGGCTTCTCAGGAGTCAAGGTGAGGAGTTAGACCTCTCTGGACATGCCTGCCTGCGGCCCACCTCGCAGCAGGCTCCTGACCTAACCTGGGCCCCAAGGAGGTGAGGCTTCTCTGCTGGGCTGGTCCAGACCAAAGGGTTGGGCATTGGGGTATACCAGGAAGACACCAGGAAGTTTGGCTGTTTGGTGATAAAAACAGATGAAGATATGTGATGGGACCCCGAAAGTCACAGATGACATTGTGACCAAGTATTTGTAAAGGAAAGGATGAATGAGGAAGTATAAATGAGGAAAATAAAATGTGCTTGGGCCGAGTCAGGGCACAGGTGCTTCCTGTCACATTCTGGCCCCTGAGCCCAAGTGACCCGAATAAAGCCAGGGTGGGTGGGAGTGTGTGCAGATGTGTGTCACAGCAGCAGTAGACAGAAAGAGATCCAGGAAGAGTCAGGAGACATACAGAGACAAAATGAGGGATGGAGAGAGAAAAGAGCAGCCAGGAGATGAGATGGGAAGGGAATACAGAAATGGAGAGAGAAGAGGGAGCCACAGAATACCACAGAAGCTGCCACTGTCTTCATCATGTCAGATTCTCAAAGTGCCCTGCCCCCTCAAAACATGAATGGAGTACTTACTTCTCTCCTCTGAGGGGGACATCCTCTTTTCAGGAAGTGCCAGAATGTTCTGGTTGCTGAGGGCTGACTGGCATCCCCAGCTCCCGTTCCTGGCTAACTTCCCTCAGTCTTTCTCTCCCTGATTTGACAGGACCACTCCCTCTTCCCTGCACTCTGTTTCATCCATAAAGTTGAAGGTGAGATGCCATGACCCCCATCAGCTGGCTCAGAGAGTTAGGCAGGTACCGCTCTCTGGTTCAGTATGCCCAGGGATGGCTTCACATACATCCCCTTTGCCACGGTGGAGTGTCACACAGAAGCCGAGGTCCAGAAACCCTCGGACCCAAGGTCAGATTTGCCCAGAGTCCCACCAGTGGTAGAAAGGCCGAAGGCCCCTCTGTCCTCCAGGGACATCCATCCCTTCCTTCGGGCCAAGCAGGCACAAAAGTGACACAAACCACAGCTCCCGTCGAGGCCTACCTCTGGCCCCGGAGAGAGCTGCTGGAAGCTCTCGTGGCTGGCAGCCCTCTGGATGGCTGTTTCCAGCCCCGGAGCTCCACTCCTGGGCTATACACCTCCCAGGCCCCCCGCGGTCTGGCAGCTCCACACTTCACCCCATGAACTTCCTCGCAGGTCTGGCAGGACTCTACTGCCCTGGTCCTGCCTCCCAGAGAAACCTGCACCCAGCATGTGCCCTTGGGACCGGCACCCTCCTAACATCCGCTTCGGGGTGGAGGACATTCCAGATTCCAGTCCCTTCCCGCCCCAGCACCTGACTACTTAGCAAGGCCAGCAGGATGGACCTGAGAAGTCCTGTGCTCCAACAGATCCACCCCACAGCTGGGCCTGGGGACAGACCAGCTTCAGCCTGGACAACAGGAATCCATCCACACCCACCTCCAAGTCTTACCATATCTGTATTCCAAGATTGTCTGCCACATAGCAGGTGCATAAAGGATTCCTGTGTGTCTCAAGGCCATTTTCTGAAGCTCTTCCTTC